CGTGTCTGCAGCTGCCCCCCTTTGGAAACTGCTCTCAAGCGGCTCCTGTTTGGCCGGGGGGGGGGGGGGGGGCTTCCCCGTTGCGATTGTGTTGTGTGTTCCACTTGGTAGCTCTCTCAAATCCCTTCCTGCATAGGTGGCGGCCTCGGCCCCCACCCCGTCCAGCTGCTGCTGCGTGGGCGAAGTTCAGGGCCCCTCCTACTCCAAGGGAGAGGCTGTGAGGGGGCTCCTGTTTTGACACCACCCCCCCACACACGGTCTCTTTCTCAGCAGCTCGGAAACTCCAACAGAAGCGAGTCCAGTTGCTGGAGGAGGAGGAGGAGGAGGAGGAGGAGGAGGAGGAGCATAGCCAGCCCCCCCCAGGCACGGGGTGCCCCTCCAGCATCTTCATCGAAGGCGTTGAGTACAGGGTGGAGAAGCAGAACGGGGGGGGCAGTCTCCCCCCAACCGCCTGGTGAGCTCACTGTCTCTGAGAAGCAGAGGGGGAGGAGAGGAGGAAGTCCCCCACCCAGGCTGAGCCTTGGCAACCTCCCTCTGACAGGATGAGCCCCGTCTGCGCCAGAGGGGGGGAGCCAGGGGTGCCAGTCCGGACAGCCAAAGCCGAACGGCGGCATCAGGAACGCCTGCGGGTGCAGAGCCCGGAGCTGCTGGCCACCCCGGAGAAGGAGCTCTCCCCAGCGGAGCGCCGAGCCCTGGAAGCGGAGAAGCGGGCCATGTGGCGAGCAGCACGGTAGGTGCCGGGGGGGGGAGTAGTCAGAGGGTCCGGGGCCACCTAAGGGCCCAGGGGCCACCCCGGGCAGGACCCACAAGGCCCCCGACGGCTCTTTCTCCCTGCGGCAGAATGAAGTCTCTGGAGCAGGATGCCCTCAAGGCCCAGATGGTGATTGCCAAATCCAGGGAGAACAAGAAGCGTGGCACGTTGGAGCAGCTGGCAGAGTCGCCCTCCCCGGCCCCCACGCCTTCCCCCACGCCCTTGGAAGGTGCGTCTTCTCTTCCGTTGGACATTGGCGCATTGACTCTGGAAGAGCGTCTCTGAAACCCCTCTGCCCCCCCCCCCTCTTTTGCAGACGGTGCTTCCCGGGTCGCAGTTTCTCCAGGGCGGCTGGTAGGAGATCCCTGCGCAGCAGAGAGGCTTTTCCGGGGGGGGGGGGTGTTGCCCGGTGTGGCTTGGCACGGGGACTCTGGGGGCCCCACCTAGAAAGGACTCTGGGGCCTTTAGCTTTGCAGCCAGGCAGAGGGGGCTTCTCTCGCCCTCTGCCGGGAGGGCCGGAAACAGGGGGTCTGGTGGGGGCCCAGGGACCCAAACCCACAGCAGCTGGAGGGCCCCCGCTCTGCTCTCCCTGGAGCAAGTGAGGCTTCCCTGGGCAGAGGCCTTGCCTGCCTTCCCTGGGCTCTGGTCACTCTTGTTCTCTCTCTCTCTCTCTCTCTCTCTCTNAGCCAGCCCTGACCCTCCCCGTCTCCTTCCCCAGGACGGGGGCAGCGCAGACCCTCTGCAGCTGGATAACCGCAGCTTGGCAGCCCTGTCCAGTAGCAGCAGCCATCTCCAGAAAAGCCCCCGTGGCGTGAGTGACAGGGTTGGGGGGAGGGGGAGGGAAAGCCTGCCCCAGCTGTGGGTGTGGAGGTGCCAAGTTGCCCCCCCCCTCATGGCTTTGCCTCTGTTTGACTGGAGTGGGGTGAGGGGGGGGTTGCCATTCCCAGGAGCTGTTCCTTCTGCTGGAGGGCCCAGCCGCTCGTGCCCTCCACTTCCCAGGAGAGGGGGAGTCGCGTCTTGGTCCCTCTTTCTGCCCCTGGGGTGGGCAGTCTTTGCCTCCCCAGTGGAGCAGGTGGGGGGTGAGGGGGGGCTTTCCCAGAGGCCTGGGGGAGGTGGGGGCATGGCTCAGGAGTGCAGGATGGCTGAGTGTTGGGCGCGGGGGGGGAGGCTAAGCCGGGTTAGGGCTGCGGTGGGCTCCCCCAGCCCTCCTGCCTCTTCTGGGAGGCCCGGGATGCGCTTAAGGGCTTCCCTTCCACAGGCAGTCCTGGAATCGCCTGCCAGCCTTCCCCGCGTCCTGGGTGGCAGGCAAGGTGGCCTCAGCTCTGGCCCCGTGCAGCCCGGTCCCTCTCCAGGGCCTCTCTCAGGGCGGGAAGTGGAAGAGCCATCTTGGGAGTTGCCCAACAGCCCCCCCCCCCCGGCTCCTCTTCTTGCCAGTTCCTGCCAGGCCGGGTGGCTTCTTCCCCTGCTGGACGTCCCCACCGGTCAGGCTTCCTCCCAGGACAGGGGTCAGGCGGGCAGTGCCCAGGCGGTGCTTCCAGGGCAGCAGACCTTGGTGCACTCCCAGCCCCTCCCTTTCAGCACCAACCCCTTTGTGTGGGCCAGTTGGCAGGGCCCTGCGATCTGGGGGGGGGGCGCCCCTTGTCTACGGCCAGAGGGCACTGCTGAAGACCAGCCTCTACGCCAAGGCAGGGGGGCGAGCAACTGGCGTGGCGCGATGCTGCATGGTGCTGCCTGGCCGAGCAGCCTTTCCTATCTGCTGCTTCCGGCCCAGGAGACGGAGCCCTTCCTGGGGCTGCTTCTCGCTTCCTGGGGGGGCAGGTGGGGAGAAGGGGGAGCCAAGGCTGCTACGGGGCTTCCCCTCAAAAGGGGCCTTAGCCATTCTCTCCATTTCCTTCACCCCGTGGTCTCACCTCTCAAAGCTTCATCTCTGCTCATTTCCTTCTCTAAGGAGTGTGTCTGTGTGTGTGTGTGTGTGTGTGTGTGTGTGTCTGTGTCTGTGTCTGTGTGTGTTTAACTGCGTGATATTGATTTTAGTTTTTGCTAAACAAGGACGTTGCAAAAAGCAGGCATGACCCCAACCACGTGCCCCGGGGGACAGGACATCCGCAAAGGAGCCAAAGGCCTCCGCTAGAAGGGGTTCAGGCCATCTGCCGGCCATCGCTCGGTCTCTGTAGGCTCTGGAGAGGGGACCCCCCC